AAGACGTCTTATATTTACAACCACTGTCAGATCTGTCAGCTTTAGCGCCTAAACAATTTCGAAAACTTTAAGATTAACGGTCCAACCGAAAAAGTCCAACTTTTTTGTAATCAATTAACCAGTATCTGTCCAACAGTTTCTGGCCTCATCTCTAAAGTCCCTAACTCAATTTAAGAGTGTCCAACACCCAAGGTCCAACCTTTGCTGCCCAAAAAAGCGCAGGCTACCGTTCCAAACGGTAGAGTGTGGTCCAACCACTAGCTTATTCCAGGATGCCCTGTACCCCACAGTTAAGCCCAACTGAACTAACCCTGTTCGCCGACAGGTCAATGTCGCGCGTCCACGACAAGGAGGGAGCGTAACCTCCGGGCTCGGCTCTGCGCTTCTTACCAGTCCAACTGGCGTCCTATAATAATTTTGTAATACTTTAAAACAACAATCAACACCCAAAACAAGTGTATAACTGAAGCAGGTCCAACCTTATATCCAAACAATGACCACATTCCCTAACCTACTAAAATCAGCAGTCCAACTGCTTTCCTTTCCAGCAGTCCAACTGCTCCTTATGGTCCAACCATAAATCAGCAGTCCAACTGCTCCGCGGTCCAACCGCATTCAATCATTTCCAGCAGTCCAACTGCTTTAGCGGTCCAACCGCATTAAATCATTTCCAGCAGTCCAACTGCTTTAGCGGTCCAACCGCATTAAATCCTCAGTTCTGTCATGAGATTCTAATCAAAATCAAAACAGACATCCACCAGTAATTTCAGTGAGCGGACATTTAACTTTTACAGCCCAATTTGACACCTTTTGGAAGTAATTCAACAGGCAGTGTCTTACCTTTTTAGATATCATGCGCCGGCGTGCGTCCACTCACTTTTGACCACTGGCCAAGTGTCTGCCCGTCTGACCACCTCGGACCACCGTCCACACCTCTCCAATTCCCCCTCACTCAATCCCAGCGGTGCCTCCAAATGTTAAGGGTTCGATATTGAGGAAGGGTACAAGAGGCGACCGAAGAATAACCACACTGATCCGGCCGGGTGAAGTCAAACGATGATTTTAATGAATACACGCGTGGGAAGACAACTCTGTACGCAGACAGCAATTGATCTTCAACTTAATCAAAGCATAAACAGATATTTTATAGCATCAGGGTTTTGATTTACTGACGCCCCTTCATGCGTCACAGATACATTTTATACATAGATCAGATCAGCACCACAATGACTTTTCACCCAATT